GCGGAAGCGCCGAGGAGCGAGGGAGCGCGGAAACAGGCTGCCCCGCTTGCTGCCGCAGATGGTCGGGGCCGCGCTGTCGCCGCCTTGGCTGCTGCTGCTGCTGCTGCTGCCCTGGGCGCCCCCAGGCCAGGCAGCGCCGGACCTGGATGAGATCCAGTGCCTGCCCGGGTTGGCCAAGCAGCCAGCTTTCCGCCAGTACTCCGGCTACCTCCGTGGCTCCGGCTCCAAGCACCTCCACTACTGGTCTGCGGCCCTCCCTCCGGGGCGGGGAGGGGACTGCGCGCGAGCTGGGGGAGGGTCTGAAGACCCCCGGGGAAGCCTGGGAGCAGGGAGCGCTGGGAGGGGCCCCTCCGCCTGCACCCACCCTGCTCCGCCTCCCTTGCCAGGTTTGTGGAGTCCCAGAAGGATCCCAAGAGCAGCCCTCTGGTGCTTTGGCTCAACGGAGGGCCCGGCTGCAGCTCCCTAGATGGCTTCCTCACGGAGCACGGCCCCTTCCTGGTGAGTGGGAAGCCACTGTCTCCCCCCCACCCCCAACCAGGAAGGGGAGAGGAAGGGGACCGTCCCTAAAGGAAAAGGCTGGGGAGGAGGGAGAACAGGACTTGGAGGTGTTCCCAAGTGTGCCCTTTTCCTGAGCCTGGGTTCCGTAGTCTGTGTCATTGGCTTGACTCTCTGTACCTCTCAGGGGTTTTGCCCGAAGGGGGAGTGCCCAGCACGGTGGCCCTTTTCCTTCCACCCAGTTGGCCCTTGGCACTTAGCCATTTCTCTCCTCCTCAGGTGCAGCCAGATGGTGCCACCCTGGAGTACAACCCCTATTCTTGGAACCTGGTATAGCTGGAGCTGTGGGTCCTGTGGGGGTGTCTGGGCACTTGGATGGGGTGGGGAGCCTTCTTCAGTTGCTTTCCTCCTGCCATGTAGATTGCCAATGTGTTGTACCTTGAGTCCCCAGCTGGAGTGGGCTTCTCCTACTCTGATGACAAGACTTATGCAACCAACGACACCGAGGTGAGTCCAGTGCCCGCCCCGTGCCCCAGCCTCCCTGGTTCTCTAAGGGTGGCACGCCCCCCGGGGAGAAGAACATGGCCTTGGAGGCTGTTTTTGGCTCTGTCACATGCTGTGTGTGGTCTTGGCAAAGCCACTTCCTCTTGCTCAGAGTGGGTGGGTGTCATTATGTCTGAGGTTCTTTCCGGCTCAAATAGGAGAACCTTTTGATTCCCTCCATCCTGCTTTCCCTAGGTCGCTCAGAGCAATTTTGAGGCCCTGAAGGATTTCTTCCGCCTATTCCCTGAGTACAAGGACAATGAGCTTTTCTTGACAGGAGAGAGCTATGCGGGCATCTACATCCCCACCCTGGCAGTGTTGGTCATGCAGGACCCCAGCATGAACCTTCAGGTACAGGGCCACTGCAGGAGGGAAGTGAGGCAGCTTATGGTTGTGGCCTTTCGGTGAGCGAGATCAGACAGGCCATCTTCCCCATCCAACCTGGTCTCCTTTGTAACGTGCTTGCCACTGCCTGGCCCGCCTCTGCTCTTGTGCTTCCCACGACAGGAAGCTCACCTGTCAGCCAGCCAGCTCTGTTCTTTGAGTGGCCTCCCCACAAACCACCTTGGATTTCAGCTTCCAGATTGCTGGAGGTCTGGGTGTAGTCAGGGGAGGCTCCTCCTCTGCCTCCAGATGACCTGAATGTCCTGGGTGTTTCACAGGGGCTGGCCGTGGGCAACGGACTCTCCTCCTATGAGCAGAATGACAACTCCCTGGTCTATTTTGCTTACTACCACGGCCTTCTGGGGAACAGGTATGGGAGAGGGCAGTTGGGCAGTCTCCAGGGTGGGGCAGGTCATGAGATCTCAGGTCTGCTTTCCAGGCACATGATTGATACCCCGCGGGGCCCTACCCTGGTTTATGAGCAGGAGGTGGGGGCTGAGGTTGCTGGAAGAGACTGAGGAGGGCTGGCAGGATGGCCCCAGAGCAGCTGGGTTTGGAATCTACATACCATCCCCTGTGATCCGTTTCCTCATCCCCTGGAGGCAGGTGGTGGTAGGAGGTTGGAGGAAGAGGGTGGGAGGCCCGCCTGGGGCCTGAACACTTTCATGCATCTCCTACAGGCTCTGGTCTTCCCTCCAGACTCACTGCTGCTCTCAAAACAAGTGTAATTTCTACGACAACACCGACCCAGAATGCGTGACCAATGTGAGGTTCTGCCCCCAACCTCTGTCACCCTGACACCCCCAGCCCTGAGAACAGGACCACATCCCCTCCTTGGGCGCTCCCTGACCCCATCCCCTATGGCTTTCCTGTCCTGCCTCCTTCAGCAATTTGGTGTTTTCTGGGACATGTCTGGGGATGTGATCCTATCACCACTTCCTCTGACTTCCTGGGCAAATCCTGTAACCGCTGGGAGGGAAAGGATCTCTCACTTATCGAGCACCTACAATGTGCCAGGCACCGGGCTGACATAGGTCAACGCAGATTATTTAATCTTCAAGATTCTCCTTTAGGGGAGATCGTATTGTCCACATTTTCCAGAAGAGGAAACTGAGGCCCAGAATGTTAGTCACTCGTCTGAAATCACAGTGTTAGAAAGTAGTGGCACCAGGGTTTGGACCCTGGGCTGGCAGATTCCTTCCACTGAGCCTCAGTTTCCCTACCTGTAAAATAAAGTGGGGGAAGGGTGACGACAAGAGGTGAAGTAGGAGAGCGGTCTTGGGACGCATTGGCGGGACTCTGGGGAGGCCGGGCTTCTGTGACACGGGTGGCTCGGTGTGTCATTGCAGCTTCAGGAAGTGTCCCGCATCGTGGGCAGCTCCGGCCTCAACATTTACAACCTCTACGCCCCCTGTGCTGGGGGTGTTCCTGGCCATTTAAGGTAGGCCCTGCGGTGTGTCCTGGGGGGCCCTGGGCCCAGCCCTGCCTGGAGGCCGAGACACCCATTCCCCCACTTCACCTGCAGGTACGAGAAGGACACTGTCGTGCTCCATGACTTGGGCAACATCTTCACTCGCCTGCCGCTCAAGCGGATGTGGCATCAGGTGTGCAAGAGCCCGCTTCTTCTGGTGGGGGTGGGGCAGGGAGGCGAAGACCCTGACCTTCGGGCGGTGCCCCCAGGCACTGCTGCGTTCCGGGGATAGGTTGCGCATGGACCCGCCCTGCACCAACACCACGGCCACCTCCACGTACCTCAACAACCCTTACGTGCGGAAGGCCCTCCACGTCCCCGAGCAGCTGCCCCGCTGGGACATGTGCAAGTGAGGCTCTGGGGCCGCCTGTGGCCTGGGGGTGGCAGGCTCTCAGGGCTCATGGGTATCAGGTTCCCAGGGATCCCTTGGCCAGGGTCTCTCAGGGGTGGCACTCAGGGTGCCACGGTGAGTTGTGCAGGATGTTTGACCATTCAGTCGATTGCTGTTTCGCCAATTCATTCTTAAACGGCCGCATCGGTTGGTAAAATGGCAGTTTGCATCCCTGGTGTTTAGTATACCAGACCCTCTCCCCCACCCCCACTCCACTGCAGTCCCCAGTTGCACGGATCTCCTATGACCCGTGTGAGTAACAGGGTGACGCCTGGCACCGCGGGGGCCACTCAGGTCGTCTCATTGGTCAGTGCCCCTGCCCTCCGGTTGTTCCCCGCTGTGGTTCTCACACCTGTGGGCCCCTCTGCCCTAAATGCCGGCTGTGGACCAGGGACTAAACGTTCCTGTATACGTTTCTAAGTGGGGGCGAGTTGAGGACCTCTGAATTCCAGCCCCTCATCCAAGTAAGTCCTAGAGAAGTGACGTGAGGAGGGGACTGAATCCCAACTCTGCCTCCTGGGCTGGAGCTTAGAGCTAGGAGGGGATAGGAGAGGAGGTCTGCTCTGTGCCTTTTTGTCTCTCTTTACCTCGTCTTCCCGGGGCCTGCCCACGTGCTCCCGCAGCTTCCTGGTGAACATACAGTACCACCGTCTCTACCAAAGCATGCAGTCCCAGTACCTGAAGCTGCTCACCGCGCAGGTGAGTGGGGGCAGCACCGCTGGGTCCACCAGCAGCCTCAGGACCCTGGAGCAGCCTGATAAGGCGGGGCCCCCTTTAAGTGCCACTCCGGACACAGGAAGCTGAAACTCCCAAGAAACGAAGCCCAGTGACTGGCAGAGTCACGATTTGAACGTGGCTTTGTCCCCATCCCATGCTGTTCTCTTGTAGGAGCCTAGGGGGTCTGCGTCAGCCAAGGAGACGTTAGGTTGAGAAGAGCTAGGAGAACGTGTTACAGACATGCAAATGGAGGTCTGGGGTGGGAGAGGGCCTTGTCCAAGATCATCTAGGAGACCCTGACAGCCGGTCAGGATCCGATTCTGTACAACACAGTGATCAGAGCATGAGCTCTAGGGTCGGATCACCTATGTGCAAGTTCCTTTACTAGCTGTGTGACCCTGGGCAGGTTTCTCATATCTTGAGACTTGTTTCCCCGCCTGTCAGATGGGGTTAATAATAGTATCTGCCTTCATAGGTGAAGCATTTAGTAGAGCACTGAACATGTAGGAAACAGTCAGAAAATAGTGTTTCCTGCTTTGTGCTATTTCACTGGGCCCCTTGAATTCCCTGCAGGGGTAGGGCTTGAAACAGGAAGGGCTGGGACCTGGGCTCATTCCAGACCCCCCCCCATTCCCTCCCCTGCCCTGCTCCAGAAATACCGGATCCTGCTCTACAACGGAGATGTGGATATGGCCTGCAATTTCATGGGGGATGAGTGGTTTGTGGATTCCCTCAACCAGAAGGTACGGCACAAGGATCCTAGCTCTGGGCAGGGATGGGACGGCTGTGCCTGGCAGCTAGGCTCTGGGCAGACAGGGCAAACCTGGGGGAGTTCCGGGCCCCTGAGGTCTTCTGGCAGCCGTGAGCAGAGATGATGGGGCGGCAGCAGGCTGCTAAGTCTTTCCTGGTGGGGCAGATGGAGGTCCAGCGCCGGCCCTGGTTAGTGGACTACGGGGACAGTGGGGAGCAGATTGCTGGCTTCGTGAAGGAGTTCTCCCACATCGCCTTTCTCACCATCAAGGTAGGGCTTGCGCCTGGCAAGGGCTGGCTTGGCTGGAGGGGATGGGGCAAGACCCACCTGTCCTCCTTCCAGCTCCCTTTACACTGGGTTACCGGGATCCCAACTGGCCCCGTAAGAGCAAGTTTTCTGGCGGGTGTGGGAAAAATGCAGTGCTTGGGGCAGGGCTGGGAGAAGAGGAAGGTCACTGGTTGGAGGGATCCAGTAGGATGGAGGACGCACCCACGGGCAGGGGTTACACAAGAAGGTGATCTCAAAGAGCTTTGCTTCTAGGGCGCTGGGCACATGGTCCCCACCGACAAGCCCCAGGCTGCCCTCACCATGTTCTCCCGCTTCCTGAATAAGCAGCCGTACTGATGGAGATCAGTCCCCTTACTGATGGAGACAGCTCCCCTTCTGCCTGATCCAGCCCCTCTTTCCCGCCCCTCCTGCTAGAAGGGAGGTCCTCCTTTATGCAGAATGCCCCTGTGGGGCAGGTCCCTGCCTCCAGGACTGCTTCCCCCTTACCCCCTCCGCAGCCCTCTGCCTCCCAGACCAGGCCCCAGTGCCTCACATAGACAGCCTGGGGGAGTTAGCACTTTATTCCTGACTGGGGTGGGGCCTGGCCCCCTCCCTTCGTGCACTAGAACACAGCAGAGCTCAGGATAGCCCATGGGGAGGGTGGACGGACTGTAATTGGTGGATTGACTGATTATGGAATTAAATTGGGTACAGCTTAAAGCCCTGTCTTCTCTGTGGCACTGGGGGGTTAGACAGGACACTATAGGCTGGGGTGGGGCGGGCAGGGGCTGGGGGAGGGGACGAGAGGCGTCAGAGTCCTGAATGCCCCTGCCAGGGTGGGCTTGAGGGCTCAGGCAGCTGTCGTGGAGGGTGGTGGGGCACTGGATGCCCAGGGGTCCCTGGTGTCGGCAGGCCGGTTCTTCTCGATCACCTCTCGCAGCCCTTTGGCAAAGTGGAGGTCGGCCCCAATGGTGAGGAAGCCCTGTGCGGTGGGGCAGAGAGGGGAGTCTGTTTATTCCATCACAGACCAAAATTTCAAGATAGAGACAAAGTCTTTAGCCTCGAGGGGTTCTCAATTTAGTGGGACAGGAGGAACAGCAAAGAAGTTCTTCTAGCTCCCTGTGAAGGGTGTAAAAGAGAGGCTGCAGGAGCACAGTCTGTGGAGGTCAAGGAGGGCTTCCTAGAGGAGGTGACCTCTTAGCTCAGACGTTCAAGATGAGTAGATATTGGGGGTGGAATCCGGGAAGAGGTTTACAAGGTGACAGCCCAGCTGTGCAGAGGGCTGGAGAACTCTGATGATGGAAGATTAAAATGGGATGGGCCGTCGATAAGGGAGGGGCTGGGGTTGGGTAGCAGAGTTAGGTCGGTGGTGAAGCAGAGGCGGGGAGGCTGTGCCCTCCTCCATCACCGCCCCCTACTCACCGCATGGTTCGTCACCACCTCGCGCACAAAGTTGATACCCTCGGGCAGCGGGATCTGCACCCCCCGCCACATCCGCTCTGTGGGTGGGAGCAGGTGGCTCAGCTTGGGTCCACCCAGCTCCCCTCGCCTTTCCCTCTCCTGCCTCCCGACCCCCAGCCCTACCATTGAGCATGGGCATCACCCCAATCTGCAGCATGGTCTTCAGAGGGGCCTGCAGCGGGATCAGCTGGGAGGGAGGAGGCAGGACATTAGGGCAGCCAGCAGGAAGCAGCCTGGCCTTTGCTGCCCGGCCCCGATCCGGCCTCGGCACCCCCGCCACCCCCCAACTCACGGCCAGCGACTCCAGGGCGGACTGGTTCGAGTAGATTCGGAACCTACAGGAGAGAAAGAAGTGTCCAGGGGGCACGAGGCCCGGACGCTCCCCCCCCTCCGGCCACCAGAAGCCCCCGAGTCTTAGCCGCAGATGCCCCCACCTCCACACCTGTCCGGGGGTTCTGCCACTCGCCAGGTGTGCATCCCTGGGAGAGTCCTTTCTTCCTCTTGCAGTTCTTTTTCTCCAAGTTTGCTACTTTTAATTTGTCGACCACTTCCTGTACACCAGCCTTGTGTTGGTAGCTTTGCACGTATGGTTTGTGTTTATTTAAGCAACCTTACAGAGCTCACTCCCTCCCAGATACTAAGCGTGTTACAAAAGTCAAATATTAAGATATTTTAAAATGCCAACTTGACTTCATCCTCCTGACCACCCTAAGAAGGAGGCACTATGAAATTGACTTGCACTTTTTAGATGAGGCAGATGAAGCCTAGAGAGAGGAAGTAATTGGCCTGCGGTTTCACAGGTGGTAACGGGCAGAAACTGCCTCTAGAATCTAGGCTCTTAACCACGACCCTGCAGTACCTCATTTAACCCCTGGGACAGTGCCATCCAGTAGAACTTCTACAAACTGTTGCATGTTTGCCCTTGCCGTGTAAGAGCCACTAGCTACCTGTGGCTAGCATGGTAGATGCTATTTTTTCTTAGCTCCCCCAGTGGCTATGGGTCTGAGTGGATTTCGCTCCCCAGTTGTCGGGCAGGTGCAATTATCCCGAAGGCACGGGGGCTCAGTGAGGTTAAGCGCTCGCCCGAGATCTTGGCCAGCTGCTTACCGGCGCAGGTCCAGCTGGGTGCGCAGCGCCTTCCCCCGGAGTGCCATCTTGGCGCTGAAACGGGCGTCCTGCGGGCAGGGGGGTTGGGGCAGGGTTACTGACCCACAGAGTCCACAGCGCACTGTCCCGGACCCTCCGTAGCCCCTACTCTGGTGCCCGCACCATGGTCATGCTGGATAGCTGGACCTCGGGCTGGTCTGACGGGACCAGGGCGATGGTGACGCTGGCAGTGACAGAGACCGTGGTACCCGAGGGCTTGATGGTGCAGCGAGGTGGGGCCAGGACGCGCAGCTCCAGCTTCAGCGGGGAGTCGATCACTGCTGGGCTCTGGGGACAGAGTAGGGAGGGCGGGGGAAGTCCCAGACCTGTTCCCTGATGAGCCCCGGGCGGGGAGATGGGGTGGCTCAGGCTTTGCCTGCTGGGAGCCCAGACGCACAAATACGAGGACTGGTGTGGCTTCCCAGACCCTTCAGAACTGTGTCCAGCCTCTGTGCCTTTGCTGACACGAAGGATGGAATGTCTCCTTTTCCTGCCGTCCTGAGTTCTCGGTGGTGGGGGATCCATCCCCAACCAGACTCCTCGGGGACAGTGTTTGCATCAAATATCCCCGCCCTCTGCCATATCGCCCTTCTCTGAACTGCTGTGCTCTTTCTCCTGTAGGCGCTGACCAGTACTTCGCCTGTGTTAGCTCATTTAAACCTCATCATAACCATGTGAGGCAGGAATTACCGTACTCATCTTTGAGATGGGGAAACCGAGGCACAGAGAAGTTAAGTAACTTGTCCAAGGTTCTGTGGTCATCCAGGTGCAGAACCTGGGATTCAGAGCCGGGCAGTTTGGCCAGAGAGTCCATGCCCCCACCAACGCTTGGCCATCAGGTTGATGGTGACGATGGGGATGACAGCAGTGGGGACAGCAGCTAGTGTTTCCTGAGCACTTACCCCCACCGGGGGCTGCTCTGATTTCTTTACATGAATTGACTCAGCTAATCCTCACGACAGCCCTGGCAGGTTGTATAGTGTAGCAGAGATTAAGGGCAAGTTCTCTAATGATTACTGAGATACTTTTTAATTTTGACCTTTCACCCCTCTCCCCATGAAACAAGGGAAAATAATAAGCAAAAAGAATACATCAGGGTCGCCTGGCTGGCTCAGTCGGTAGAGCATGCGACTCTTAATCTTGAGGGTCATGAGTTCGAGCCCCACGATGGGCGTAGAGATTATTTAAAAAATTAACTTAAAAAAAAGAATATATCGGTCATTGTTAAAGTCCCTACACTTAGAGAGCTTGGGTTCTCAGCCTGCCGTCCTCCTAGCTTCATGAAGAAGAGCAGGAGTAGCAAGGGCCCTTCACAGACTTGGAATCGACCTTGACAAATAAGAGGACTTAGCCACAGGCAGGAGGTCAGGCCTTCTGTTTACTCCATGGTGGCCGCGGAGGCTTCTGCCTGCACACCTCACGCGTCCCCTTGCTGGTGTGCAGGCGGTAGGGCCACCCACCCTGGCCACATCCCTACCTCCCGCCAACACTCACCAGCAGGACGATGCTCCCAAAGTAGGTGGCCCTCAGCAGCATGTCCAGATCGTGGGGCACCTGGAGAGGGGAAGGGGGGGATGAGGCAGGGTCATCAGGAGTTCCGGACAGGGCCCCTCTTGCCCATCCCACAGACAGGCCCCGGCATACCTTGTCCCCCACCAGTGACAGCTGCAGGGCCCCCGCCCGGAAGTAGCTCTCCATGGCAGAGTCAAAGAAGAACTCCGAGAAGGCCACGTACACCATCCGCTCCTCCTCCTGTAGTTGGGGCTCTACCGCCCGGTTGGGCAGGCTCCAGTTCCCCTCAGCCAGGGGAAAGAAGGCCCCCTGCAGTTGGGGGATCAGGGTCAGCTTGTGGCCCAGCACCCAGATGTTCCCACACCCGGTGCCAGGCACCATGAGGGATGGTGGGGGTCGGACCCAGCTGCTATCTGGGGGGAACTCATTAGCACAACTTCTTCTTTTAAGTTGTATTTATTTAAGTAATCTCTCCACCCAACATGGGGCTTGAACTCATGACCCCAAGATTCAGAGTCACATGCTCCACCGACACCCAGCCAGGTGCCCTCGTTAGCACAACTCTTAAAAAGGCATTCAGGGGCACCTGGCTGGCTCAGATGGTTAAGCGTCTGCCTTCGGCTCAGGTCATAATTCCCGGGTCCTGGGATCGAGCCCCACATCGGGCTCCTGGCTCAGCAGGGAGCCTGCTTCTCCCTCTCCCTCTGTCTCCACCCCCCGCTCATGCTCTCTATCTTTGTGTCTCAAATGAATAAATAAAATCTTTTAAAAAATT